GCTTCCCCCGCGGCGGGCGCGGCGTTTCGCTGCGTTCCTGCCCTGCGGCGTGGCCGGGCTCGGGCCCGCGCCCCGTTCCCGGGTGCCTTTCCTGGGCCTGAGCCCCGGACCCCTGGGGCGGTGCAGCACGGCCGCCAACCGGGCACCGGGACCAAGCGCTTGGGCCTTGTCGTGCACCCTGGCCGCTGCGCCAACCCGCCCCTTTTCCTCCCTCGGCCCACGCTTCCCCGCCGCTGGCGGCAGCGAATCTCACCCGTTTATTAATTTCCTACACAAACGAGCTGAGAACAAGGGAAACCACAGCTCCCAGTACAGCGGACACAGCAGTCCAGAATGGCTGGGCAGGGCTGACGCTTGGCTGGGGAGGAAGCTGGCGGCACTGCTCGCCCTCGGTTCTCCTTGTTCTCCCTCAGCCTCTCTCCTTCCTCCTCATTTTCCACCCTCACTGTCCTTCATTTTCCCTCAATGCCCCCCTCCCTTCCCTCATTTCTCCTCAGTTTCTCTTAATTTTTTCCTGTTCTCCCTCATTTCCCCTCACTCTCCTTCATTCTCCCTTGTTCTCCCTCAGTCTCCCTCAGTTTTCCCTTGCTCTCCTCTCAACTGCCCTCGGTCTCCCTCATTTTCTTTCTGTTTCTCTCATTTTTCCCTCAGTCTCCCCCATGTCCCTCGGTCTCCCACATTTTCCCCTCAGTTTCTGATTTGCCCCCTCGGTCTCCTTAATTTTTCCATCGGTGTCCCACATTTTCTTTCAGTTTCTCTCATTTTCCCCCTTGGTCTCCCACATTTTCTCTCATTTTCCCCCTCAGCCTCCCACATTTTCCCTCAGTTGCATTTTCCCCTTGGTCTCCCACATTTCCCCCCCTCAGTCTCCCCCATTTTCTCTCATTGCCCCCCCCTTGGTCTCCCTCATTTCCCCCTTGGTCTCCCTCATTTTGTCTCAGTTTCTTTAATTTCCCCCCTCGCTCTCGACATTCTCTCTCCATCTCCCTCATTTCCTCCCTCAGTCTCCCCCATTTTATCTCATTTCCGCTCCCCTTGGTCTCCCTCATTTTCCCCTTGGGTGTCCCACATTTTCTCTCAGTTTCTCTCATTCCCCCCCTTGGTCTCCCACATTCTTCCTCAATTCCTCCCTCCATCTCCCACATTTTCTCTCATTTTTTCCTTGGTCTCCCTCATTTCCCGCCTCGGTCTCCCAAATTTTCTCTCATTTTCCCCTTGGTCTCCCTCATTTTTCCCTTGGTCTCCCCTCATTTCCCCCCTCGGTCT